GATGGGGTTCTGGGAGTTCTTCTACTCCCCAAGCCCGGCCCGAGGCCAGGCTCGACTTTAGATACAAGAAAAATGATTTCGGGTTCCTCTCTATGTCACTTATGGCCATTTGCCTCTCTTAGATTGTATATGATTCTCTGTGCTTCAGCTCAGTCATTTCTATTCCCCTACACAGCCATCCTCGTCGTGCTTGGGAGAGAGTGGAGCGGCGTTTAAGATGTTCTGTTATTTGATTTTCTTCGCCAATAGAAGGAGAGTTGTTCTCGTTCCAGTTTGCATCTTTTTTTCTTAGTGATATATGTTGTTTACATGTTTCTTAGTGGTAGTGTCTATTTTCTCGAAGCATTGGTTTAAGTCGCATTATATAGTTGTTCTTTCCAGCATACATCTCTCCCCCCATCTCTCTCTCTCTCTCTCTCCCCCATCTCTCTCTCTCTCTCTCTCTCTCTCTCTCTCTCTCTCTCTCTCTCTCTCTCTCTCTCTCTCTCTCTCTCTCTCTCTCTCCCATCTCTCTCTCCCCCATCTCTCTCTCCCCATCTCTCTCCCATCTCTCTCTCTCCCATCTCTCTCTCATCTCTCTCTCTCCCATCTCTCTCTCTCCCATCTCTCTCTCTCCCATCTCTCTCTCTCTCCCATCTCTCTCTCTCTCTCTGTCTCTCTCTCTCTCATAACTATGTAACCTGACACTCTTCATTCAGGACGCTACACAAAGAGCCCGTCAATTAGTCCCTTCCTGTCTTGGTCGCTATGAAAAAAAGATTTCACCACCATCATCCCCCTCCCCCCTCCCCGGCTCCAATTCCTCAGTACAACTTCTATTCAATAATTCTCTATACCCATCCTTCAGGGGTCACATCCCTCGACCAGGTTCCCATCACCCCAAGTCACCACCCTAGACTAGCATCCCAACGTCTTGTATAACTCCCCCAGGCCAGTTCCTCCAGTCAGTCCTCCATGTCTGGAGTGTGTCTTGAGTGTGTCCTGAGAGGTCTACACTCCCCCAAGTCCGTTACGGTCACCATTTGACTGAAGGTAAAGCCTTGCACTGAACAGGTGTGTGAGCCGTCGACCAGGAAGGCCTTAATACACTATACAAGGTGGAGCACCTGTCATCACTACCACCCACCTGGAGAACAATCTACTCCAGTGGTGGCCGAGACACCCCAAGTACCACTTAAGAAATCACCGAGGCGGACAGCAGTTTGCACATGCCACTCTGAGAAGTCACTCGGGTACAGAGCAGTTTGCAATTTTTATGCCGCTCTCATGGTGATGAAATTTGTCAAGTAGAGGAGCAGTAGAGCCTTGAACACACACCACTTGTGAGGAGACTCAAGACGCTGATCAAGACACAAACACCACGACGGAGGAGTTCGGAGCAGCAGCACAACTGGTGCCATCAATGATATAACCTCTCCCACTTACCGTAGGGGTGCCACAGGGCAGCATCCTAGGACCCCTCCTGTTTCTTATATACATCAATGATCTCCCTAATGTCTCCAACATGCTTAAACCTATATTGGCACAACACCGCACCGCACAAACACCGCACCGCACAAACACCGCACCGCACAAACACCGCACCGCACAAACACCGCACCGCACAGACATCGCACCGCACAAACACCGCACCGCACAACTGGTGGGATGTTTGGTGATAGTGCTGGTGGAGATTGACTTGACCCTCGTACATGCATGGGCGTGATGCGTTGTGTATTCCGCTACTGGTGCCTGTAGGGTCAATCTTTAGCTCTTGGATCCCGATAGCTTTCCCCTTGTCGGGTCCTTACTTAAATGACGCCTTGCTTAAGGTGACCCTAACATATCAACGTGCGTATGCGTGCGCGCGTGCATGCATGCAAGCGAACTATTACTACATCCTACTTTACCAGTTATTCCCATTGACCTCATTTTGTGTGCTATCACTCCATGGTCACATTTGTCGAATGCCTTTGCAAAGTCTGTGTATACTACATCTGCATTTTGCTTTTCTTCTACAGCTTCACCAACCACTCAGGCCTAACAGTGACTGGTTGATACCTGGTTGATACCTGGTTGATTACCTGGTTGATTACCTGGTTGATACCTGACTACTGTTGCCCGAGGCACAGCTCACTATGCCCCGCCTCGTCACCTTATTGTTTCTGTTTTCTGGCATTATAACTTTCCTGACTTTTGAATTATTTACGGACTCTCGCCTCATATTCGTGGATGGAGGTGGCTTCTACCTCTTCTTTTCCAGTACACTCCAAAGAGATTACAAGTACCATTTTACATTTCTTCGACTTACTTCCTGTTCAAGTTTCCAACTATGTTCTCCTGTTATACTTGCATTAAATTTAAAGTTTGTGAACCTCATATATTCTCCACAGTATCTTGTATTTTGTGATCATATCCCCTCTGTTTCTTCTCTTCTTTAAGGCTGTGAGCTTTATTTCGGTTCAGATGTCCTCCTACCTTATCCCTCATACTTCAGGAACTAATCGTCTTACAAATATCTGCACTTATCAATTCTGGGTTTAAGTCTCTTTAAGGATTTTAAATATTTATATTTTAAGTTTAAGGATCGAGGCTTTATTTCAATGGCATTCAATTTTTTTTGCCATTTTATCGTATTTTGTAGATTATATCTGCCTCTCACCTAGCAGTACTTGCCTATTAGTGACTACGAGGGAGTGAGGTCTTGCTCTTTATACCCGCCTACCCGCCTTTGTGTACCCGTATATCTTAACTATCATCACTTTAGAATTCTTTGTCGAATTTTATCTTACACTTGTAATGGTATCTTATGCACTCCCGGGTCTCGGTCTCTCTCGGTCTCTCTCGGTCTCTCTCTCTCTCTCCGATTCCTATAGTTGCTTTTCCTTCGTGGTGTAGAATACTCCTAGTCTTCTATCACCTATTTTCAACTTTGTTACCTTACACTTGTTGGGGTTGAACTCTTCCAACCATCTGCCTTCATACTCCTTAAGTTAGTGAAGGTCTTCCTTGTAATTTACTCGCTATTTGCATTCCTCGTTAGCTTCGCGTCATCTGAGTACACTAACGCGTACGAGCTCGCTCTCCAGGGAGGACATTCACGTTAGTTTGGAAAACCAAGAGTCATGGGACCAGGTCTTGAGGTGTTCTGTGGTGAACACCATACCTAGGCCAGGACACCAGTGGTGAACACCATACCTAGGCCAGGACACCAGTGGTGAACACCATACCTAGGCCAGGACACCAGTGGTGAACACCATACCCAGGCCAGGACACCAGTGAACACCATACCCAGGCCAGGACACCAGTGAACACCATACCCAGGCCAGGACACCAGTGAACACCATACCTAGGCCAGGACACCAGTGAACACCATACCTAGGCCAGGACACCAGTGGTGAACACCATACCTAGGCCAGGACACCAGTGAACACCATACCTAGGCCAGGACACCAGTGAACACCATACCCAGGCCAGGACACCAGTGAACACCATACCTAGGCCAGGACACCAGTGGTGAACACCATACCCAGGCCAGGACACCAGTGGTGAACACCATACCCAGGCCAGGACACCAGTGAACACCATACCTAGGCCAGGACACCAGTGGTGAACACCATACCCAGGCCAGGACACCAGTGAACACCATACCCAGGCCAGGACACCAGTGAACACCATACCCAGGCCAGGACACCAGTGGTGAACACCATACCCAGGCCAGGACACCAGTGGTGAACACCATACCCAGGCCAGGACACCAGTGGTGAACACCATACCCAGGCCAGGACACCAGTGAACACCATACCCAGGCCAGGACACCAGTGGTGAACACCATACCCAGGCCAGGACAACAGTGAACACCATACCTAGGCCAGGACACCAGTGAACACCATACCCAGGCCAGGACACCAGTGGTGAACACCATACCTAGGCCAGGACACCAGTGAACACCATACCCAGGCCAGGACACCAGTGAACACCATACCTAGGCCAGGACACCAGTGGTGAACACCATACCCAGGCCAGGACACCAGTGGTGAACACCATACCCAGGCCAGGACACCAGTGAACACCATACCTAGGCCAGGACACCAGTGGTGAACACCATACCCAGGCCAGGACACCAGTGAACACCATACCCAGGCCAGGACACCAGTGAACACCATACCCAGGCCAGGACACCAGTGGTGAACACCATACCTAGGCCAGGACACCAGTGGTGAACACCATACCTAGGCCAGGACACCAGTGGTGAACACCATACCTAGGCCAGGACACCAGTGAACACCATACCCAGGCCAGGACACCAGTGAACACCATACCCAGGCCAGGACACCAGTGGTGAACACCATACCCAGGCCAGGACACCAGTGAACACCATACCCAGGCCAGGACACCAGTGAACACCATACCCAGGCCAGGACACCAGTGGTGAACACCATACCTAGGCCAGGACACCAGTGGTGAACACCATACCCAGGCCAGGACACCAGTGGTGAACACCATACCCAGGCCAGGACACCAGTGGTGAACACCATACCCAGGCCAGGACACCAGTGAACACCATACCCAGGCCAGGACACCAGTGAACACCATACCCAGGCCAGGACACCAGTGAACACCATACCCAGGCCAGGACACCAGTGGTGAACACCATACCCAGGCCAGGACACCAGTGAACACCATACCCACAGACCAGAACACCACATCTACTGCACATCTCTCATCCAGACCTCAAAGGTTACCACCTTAACAGAACAACAATCCTATTGACTCTCCAAAACAAACACGACCAAAAAAACATCTTAAGAACATTTCCTCTCCTCCTCCAAAGTGGTCGCAAGATTTCACTGCCGAATTAACAGTTGCTAGTATTGCATTCCACCCCCTTTAAGACGGCCACCCCGTCAGGCAGGCATGCCCCCACCCCCGTCATGCACAAACAGCAAAGCTGCAGCAATTTAGAAGCAGCAGCAACAGCAGCATGCAAGGGAGGAGCAAAACCGGTTCCAGGAACTTACCCGCTCGGGATGGTGGAATTGTCTGCCAACACCTGGAGTCCCCTAAAAATATAAAGCCGCCAAAAGCAGGGTGTTAGAACAAGCTGTGTTATCAAGGAGTCGCCCACCACACACACACGCAGGAGAACCTGGACGTTAATGCGGTACAGAGTGACGCATTAACACAGCGGCTGCGTTAATGCGGTACAGTGTGAGGCATTAACACAGCGGCTCCGTTGCTGTGTGCTTGGTGGGGTAGTAGTGGGGAGAGGCACAGTGAGGGACAGGAGTCAAGCACGTCTCTAACACCACCAACAGACTGTTAAATTCGTATCTGGCTTGGAAGTTATGTGTTGGAAAGTCAATAGTGTTAAATATGGTGGCTTGTGGAGAGACTTCAGGCTCCTGTCTCTCTCTCTCTTCTCCCTCTGGGTCTCTTCCACCAAATTGAGAACACCACCTGTACCTCCCTTCCCACTTGCATCTGTCCCTTCACCTCCACCTGCACCTCCACCCCCACCTAACACAGCCACTCTGGTGACCTCTGACAATGTGGGGGCTACACCAAGTGGTGTTCTCAAGGAGGCGAAAGACGAAGAGTCATAGAAAAGATAAATCCCAAAATAAAACCGCATGCAAGCCACGATACTTTGGCAGAAGTTCCTCTTTTAGGCTACATCACCACAAACTATGCAGCCATAAAATTATCCTCGACATTTTATAATATATTTTATATATATATATATATATATATATATATATATATATATATATATATATATATATATATATATATATATATATATTATATAACAATGCCTAGTTATAAAGAAATAAATGTTTAAAGTTCTTAATTTTGTACAAGAAAAACTATGATTATTAGAAAGTTTGTCAAGGCAACAGTGGACCCCAAGCTCTGGCAGTCCTCCCTCGTTAGTAGCCACCTCCAGGAAGCCGCCACACCACCAAGCCACACCTTGGGGTCAGGGCAGCCACAGTGAGCACACACCTTGGGGTCAGGGCAGCCACAGTGAGCACACACCTTGGGGTCAGGGCAGCCACAGTGAGCACACACCTTGGGGTCAGGGCAGCCACAGTGAGCACACACCTTGGGGTCATCACACACCCATAACAAGGTCTTGATGATGGCGTGCTTCAAGACCTCCTCCACCACCCACGCTGCTCCTCAAGGCCACTTCATCACACATTCCACAACACCAAAAACACACACACACTGGACGCGTGAGGCGGCCCTGTTAGTCCGGCACTTCCTGAAGAAAACTATCTAGTTTTCTCTTGAAGATGTCCGCGGTTGTTCCGGCAATATTTCTTATAGTCGCTGGGAGGATGTTGAACAACCGTGGACCTCTGATGTTTATACAGTGTTCTCTGAGCTTATGGCACCCCTGCTCTTCACTGGTTCTATTACACTGTTCGACTCCGAAGAGCCGAAGCTCAACCCCCGTAAGCACAACTAGGTGAATACAACTAGGTGAGTACACACACACACACACACACACACACACAGGGAGCCTCGTAGCCAGGGCTCGTAATTCTGTGGCGCGGGTTCGATTCCCGCACTAGGCAGAAACAAATGGGCAAAAGTTTCTTTCACCCTGAATGCCCCTGTTACCTAGCAGTAAATAGGTACCTGGGAATTAGTCAGCTGTCACTGGCTGCTTCCTGGTGGGTGTGGGTGTGTGTGTGTGTGTGTGTGTGTGTGTGTGTGTGTGTGTGTGTGTGTGTGTGTGTGTGTGTGTGTGTGTGTGTGTGTGCGTGTGTGTGTGTGTGGAAAAAAAAGTAGTTAGTAAACAGTTGATAGACAGTTGAAAGGCGGGCCGAAAGAGCAAAGCTCAACCCCCGCAAACACAACTAGGTGAATACACACGCACACGCACACGCACACACACACACACACAGCTAAAGCCGAGTGGTAGACGGTTGGAACAAGTTAAGTGAGCAGGTGGTGGAGGCCAAACCCTTCAGGGTAGACGGGGCCACCACGAGCGTGGCTCCCCTCCTGTAACTACACTTAGGTAATCACCCGCAGGTTTTTAATAGGCGATTACACACAAACAAGTGATCTTAAACAATTCCCCCACACAGGATTGTATGTGGGGGATTGTGTGGACTTCCCCCACACAGGATTGTATGTGGGGGATTGTGTGGACATCCACTGGGGATTTAAACAATCCCCAGTGGATGTACAAGTTTTTCTTGAACATTGTACGCTGTGCAATGACCATCTCGTCTCTTGCAGGTCCATGTTCGATACCCCGTGGTCCAAGTGGCTTGGCAACGTTACTTTATTCTCTTCTGCTCAACACTACACGTATGTCTGCTCGAGCTAGAGTTGCAGTAGAGCAGTGATCCCAACTTAAGTCACTGTGGTTCGACACAGTTTTTATTTTATTATGATTTTGTTATTATTATTTTCTACCACAGACGTGGCCACACATTTACAATGCTAACCAGCATATATATATACATTTTCTTTTGCCCTGTTTCCTTCTTCTGTCTCTCACTGTGGTTCGGTACAGTGAAATTCAGTGCACCTCTTCCTCCTCGACCGTCACAACGGACCGTCTCATCTTCCCCTTTCCCCTTTAGACAGTCTTAGAAGTCCCTGCAAGAAGCTGGGCGAGGTCTCCTGAGATCAGGAGGAGGCATCAGGCGTCTCGTCACATATACTGCACATTATGGGCTCCTGAGGGCGCGTGTCTGGGGTGCAAAGGGACCTCCTTGCCTGATTTGTTGCACCTGCGTCTCTCTCACCTGATGTGTATACTGACTCATGGCTCACTCACCTCTCGCCTGGCGTGTATACAGACTCATGGCTCTCTCACCTCTCGCCTGGCGTGTATACTGACTCATGGCTCACTCACCTCTCGCCTGGCGTGTATACTGACTCATGGCTTCACTCACCTCTCGCCTGGCGTGTATACTGACTCATGGCTCACTCATCTCTCGCCTGGCGTGTATACTGACTCATGGCTCACTCATCTCTCGCCTGGCGTGTATACTGACTCATGGCTCACTCATCTCTCGCCTGGCGTGTATACTGACTCATGGCTTCACTCACCTCTCGCCTGGCGTGTATACTGACTCATGGCTCACTCACCTCTCGCCTGGCGTGTATACTGACTCATGGCTAACTCATCTCTCGCCTGGCGTGTATACTGACTCATGACTCACTCACCTCACCAGAAGGGTGCCGGTCGGCCGAGCGGACAGCACGCGGGACTTGTGATCCTGTGGTCCTGGGTTCGATCCCAGGCGCCGGCGAGAAACAATGGACAGAGTTTCTTTCACCCTATGCCCCTGTTACCTAGCAGTAAAATAGGTACCTGGGTGTTAGTCAGCTGTCACGGGCTGCTTCCTGGGGGTGGAGGCCTGGCCGAGGACCGGGCCGCGGGGACACTAAAGCCCCGAAATCATCTCAAGATAACCTCGATAACCTTCTTAGTATGTTAAGATAAGCATCTTATTGCTTCGTAATTACAATTATTACTTAACCTATACCTATAATTGGTTAAGTAATAATTGTAATTACGAAGCAATAAGATGCTTATCTTAACATACTAAGAAGGTTAGGTTAGGTCGGTGTTTTCTATGAAGCTTTTCAAGGTAAACTAAAATATTCACAATAAATTAGTATGTCACATATGCTGGGTCAACATACACAAACCACTCAGAATTCGTGCAATGAATCCCGATATAAAACCCAAGCACTGGTGCGCAGGAGCGCATTTCCTGCGCTCGCGCCCATCGACAGCTCGCCTTGTAAGTGTCGACTCTAACACAGCTGTTTAGCCCGAGTCGTAATCAGTGCCCTGACGGACGCGCCTCAACCCTCCCTCTAACGCTGCTTCACACTACTCAAAGAGCATGCAACATGCCATCACTTCCCCTGTAGGCACCTAAGCTATCGTCTTCATCGCACGAAACGACAAAATTCCAGCTCTTTATTAACTCTCTTTAGCTCATAATTCCCAATGGCGTCCAGCACAACACGGCCCCGCGAGTCCCAATTAATAAAGTGACGCAGCCCTGAGACGCGCGCGTCCTCCTTATCCAGCGTACGATAACCTTCCCTTCCAGAACCCGGCCTTCCGCAGTGGCGCGGGCCAAGACGGTGTTTACCCTCGCAGTGGCGCGGGCCAAGACGGTGTTTACCCTCGCAGTGGCGCGGGCCAAGACGGTGTTTACCCTCGCAGTGGCGCGGGCCAAGACGGTGTTTACCCTCGCAGTGGCGCGGGCCAAGACGGTGCTTATCCTACCTTTTTCACAAGGGCGTATTACTCAAGTTGGGAGGAGAACGCGGTCAAGCAGGCGTCGGCAGCGATGGACGTGCGACCCTCAGACGCCAGTAACGCCAAGATACACACACACCAGCGATACCAGCACTTATCCTCCTCCTGTGACGGACGTACACACTATGTGACAACAACAATTGATTAATTGATGAAGCTTAAGCCACCCAAAAGGTGGCACGGGCATGAATAGCCCGTAAGTGGTGGCCCTTTTGAGCCATTACCAGTATCAAGAGCTGATACTGGAGATCTGTGGAGGTGCGACTGTACCCTGCGTGACGGGAGATGTCTCCCGTGACAACAACAAGTGTTTTTCCACTTAATACGTTATCCCTGTGATTGATAAAGATTAAGCCACCCAATAGGTGGCACGGGCATGAATAGCCCGTAAGTTATCCCTGTCTGGTGTTGTCCTGTAAGTACTTACACCTTGAAGCATTAAGACTAAGTTTGGATCATAGTCTCTCTTCCTCTCTCCTCGCCACGCTCTCATCCCCTGGCCATTGCAACTGTCTGTGATTCAGTCACGAATATTCTACTATATCTTCCCGTCCGTCAAATAACACGTCGCATTTTGACGCAAACTTTACCTAACGCCAAAAATTATCGTACTAGAAAATGGAAGCGGCTCGCGAAACTGTCATAATGTCCCGTTTTCTGTTTTGGCTCCTCTGGTAGATTAGGATAAGGGCACTCAAGAAACCTTAGGAGGATTAGTTGGACTAACTAGGGACCCATGGCAGGGACAGAGACCTCAACGCGCGGGACGCTAGTGATCCACAGATGGCGGCCCTCAGCTTTCAACACGACCCTTAAATACAGTAATATTTATAAACAAATCCATGATGGCCGTGACGAATATTCGAACCTACGTCTGAGAGCATCCCAGACGCTGCCTTAACTGAACTACGACATGGTAAAAAGAGTTGAAACCAGAAGCATCACGCTATTATGATTTCTGTCAGCAATATTTAAATTTTTTCTACGCATCGGCCTCGAGAGTTTAGGTGGCGTTGCTTGGGTTCGAAATTTCTAGGTTGGGCAAAATAGTTATATTTTTGACGGAGTGCCACTCGTGAGCTGCCTTGCCAAGCCCCCGCCACTTTGCCCACATCAATATAATTATGAACGATGGAGCCAAGTTTCCCAATTCACATATTAACAATCAAAG